ACGAGAACTGAACATATCGTTTATGGTCGGATGTGCTGAATGTGCCTTGCTTCCACTTACTTTCAAAAAATACACAAGAGCTGCGGAAGTCCTCTGAAAGTGAAGTGACCACTCATTAGACTGTACACAAAGGCTCTCAACAGTGCTTGTTCTGAAGGCTCCTGTGGAGAGGCGAATACTTTGATGGTGGTTGTATCAAGGATCTTCAATATGCTGGGTGTCGCAGACTTATAAATTATCGCCCCATAATCAAGGCAAAGATGTACAAGGTTTCTATACAAACTTAGTAGGCACTTTTTGTCACTACCTTAGGTAGTGGGTGAGAGTACCTTCAAAGTTTTCATAGTTTTCATGCATTTGTTTCTGAGAGATTTAACGTGCGGTACAAAAGTGAGCTTTGCGTCCAGAATCAGGCCTAGAAGTTTATGCTCCGCTACTACAGTCGATTGTTGACCATGTATGCTAATTTCGAGATTGGGGTGGAAGCTTGTCTTACAGGAAAAAAAAAAAACTCAGGTGCGTTTTTGTTGTAGATTTAAAGTGAACCCGTTCTCATCTGCTCGTTCAGACACCTTGTTCAGCCCGAGCTGGACCTGCCATTCACAAATCGCGAAATTGCATAATTTGAATGCTATCTGGATGTCATCAACATATGTAGATTGAAACATAGCTCGTGGGGTACTCAGACGCAAAAAGAGTACAACTAAGTACACCACCCTATGGCACTCCAGTTCCCTGCACAAAGAATCGCGACAGAACATTTCCAACCTTTACACGGAATGTGCAGTTTGTCAGATAACTTTCGATTATATTTAGCATTCGGCCTCCTATGCTTAAGTGTGAGAGGTCTCTTAATATTCCAAATCGCCACGTAGTGTCAAAGGCCTTTTTCTTATCGAGAAATGCAGATAAAAAGAACTGATTGTGAAGCCAAGCTTCACGGATTTGCGATTCGATACGTATGAAATGGTCGGTGGTTGATCTACCCTCTAGAAAGCCACCCTGGTATGTGTCAAGCAATTATTAGACTCTAGAAAATGTAGTAAACGGCAGTTGATTGTTTTTTTCAAACACTCTACAAAGGGAACTTGCCAGTAATATTCGTCTGTAACTTGAAGTCCAGGATGGGTCTTTTGCCTGTTTGAGAACTCGGATTATGTTAGCCTCCTTCCAAGAAGATTGGATCTCACCGGAAAGCCATATAATGTTCTGAAGGGAAAGGAACGTTTTTTTTTGTGTGTTTCGAGGGGTAAATTCTTGCCGCTGTCTGTCTCTTTCTTTCTCTTGTCCCTCGTTATTGGCCCTGTTTTTTTATGTGAATCATGTCGTACCAACTCGCCCAAGCAACCACGTTAGTAAATTCTTCATCATCTCATACAGTACCCGATCTTTACCTGGCGCAGTCTTATTGCAACTGTTTAACGAAGCCTGCAGTTGTGCTAAGCCAAATGGTTGATTGCTTTGTTTTTTACAAATTTCCGTTCCAGTTTTAGTTTTTTTTTAATTTGTGCTCTGTATCTTTGGAATGTAATGGAGTAGTGCGAGGCACTGGATATGTGCTCGAAATGTGCGAAAAGGAAGATAGCTTGCTCTTCAAAACATACATGTTTGCTGCCCTGTAATTCCTTTCACCTTATTCCATAATTTCCTTTCATCAGTGTAAGAATTGATACTGTATATAAAACTTGCCCAGCTTTCTCGTCTTGCTTGTCGGCGCGTTGTCCTTCCCTAGGACTTAATGTTCGTAAAGTTTTCGAGATTTTCTGCCATTGGAGATTCACGCAGCCTACCCCACGTTTTGTTTTGGATTCTCCACGCTTCCATGCATTCATCGTTTCACCATGAAAGACGTCGTTTGCCTGACAGTCTGCTTGTTTGTGGAATACATTTGGTTGCAGCGTCGACCAAAAAAGCAGTGAAGTAATCCACAGCAGCCTCTATACTTAACACACTCATCTCATTCCAGGTTAGGAGAGTCACTTTTTGAAACTGTTCCCAGTCAGCTTTTTGGGTGAGCCACTTGGGAACCTGCGGAGGGCATTCATTTGCAATTGTAGTGCTTAGAATTATAGCGAAATGATCACTTCCATATGGATTGTTGATAACTTTCCATTGGAGGAGCGCAAAAAGCGATGGAGATAAAAAGCTAAGGTTCATAGACGAGTATTTGTTGTTCGTGATATTGTATTATGTGGATGTTTCCAGATTTAAGAGACATGTGCCAGAAGAGGACAGCAGTTGTTTGATTAGATGACCTCGCGCATCACTCCACGAGACTCTCCATAAACTGTTATGCTCGCTGAAGCCTCCAAGGAGAAGATACGGCTCTGGAAGTTCATCAATTAGGGACTAGAATTCATGTTGAGTTAGCAATGCGGAGGTATGTAGGTACAACAAATTGTCACTAGTTTGTTGAATATAACAGCTCGAACAGCCTCTGCCTCAAATGTTTGAAGCAGTAAATGTGGATAGGCTCTTCTTTTCAATAATGGCAACACCACCAGATGACGTGACCGCATCATCTGGGTCCTTTTGAAAAATTAATGTAATTGATAGAAATTTGGCGTGTTTTGAGTTTAAGTGTGTTTCTTGCACACACAGCACATTTGGTGTATGTTAGTGTAAATGTTCCTGGACATTGTCGAGGTCCCTCAACAGCCCTTGGTCGTTCCATTGTAGTATTTGTGTCATTTTAAAGTTATGTGGTGCTGTGTGTACAAAAAGTGTTGCCTTAGGTTACAGGGTCTTTTGGGGGCCCTGTACTTCCGAGTTTTTTTTATGGTGTGCTCCCAAGAGTTGCGCATATCCTTCTGCGTCTTAGTCGCCGGAAGAGTGGGACTTGTATCCATCACCTCTTGTGAGGTGGTGAATGGTGCCAGTTCGGCAGGCACGTTCACAAAACTTTCGGACCTAACGGCGCTTGCAGTGGTCCATGGTTCAAAAGACACGGGAGTCTGCCGACCCTGTTTGTCAGGTGGCGGAGCATAACAGGCTGCTCCAGGTGGGGTCGCTGATGGCGCGACCGTGGCCACACTCTGTGTGACATTCGCGGGTGCAGAAACATGTGGCGCGGCGCCCCGGCGCGTCACATCTGCGAAGGAGGGATAAGAGGAGTTGTTCCGTGCAAAGCGTTTACGTGCCTCTTGAATTGACAGATTGAATTTGATATTGAGTTCTACTATTCGTTTCTCTTTTTCCACGTGGGGCACGATCGCGGGTAGGCAGGGTTATCTCCTTCACAGTTCGAACAATGAGTTGCTTCTGAGGTGCAGTTATCGCATATGTGTTGAATGGATACACACTTTGCGCAATTGGCGCGCCCTCTGCAACTCTGCGATCCATGCCTGAAAAGCGGATACTTCAAACATTGACGAGAATTGGAGATATATGGCCTTGCACGGAACTTACAGTAGCCGGTTTCAATAGAGAAGGTGATAACTATGTGTTTGGTAGGTGTTTCTTGTATCGTCGTACAATAATTCTCTGTACCTTGACTACATTCTGGTCTTGCCAGCCCTCTGACAGTTCACTCTCAGAGAGTTCGAAAAGATGATAATCAGAAATGACGCCGCGGACTGTGTTCATTGATCTATGTGGGCCTACTGATACTGGGACGTCCCCGAATGCTACAAGTTTTGAGAGATTGTCATACTGAAGCTTGTCGCGGACCTCCAGAAGAAGGTCACCGCTTCCCATCTTGGTGACAACATATCCTGGGCCATTTGCTTCCGCGAGGACTTTTGATACAAGAAAATGTGAAATTGATCGGATCGTCTTACTTTCTTTCTGGCTATGCCATGATACTTTGGGAAGGATTGCTTTGGTTTGAAAAGTACATGTTCTTCGGTGCGCTACCTTTTCGGGCGGTAATCAGGGTGGGAGGGGAGGTGTGCCATACATAAAACATAATGTTTGGCGGCGATGGTGACCCCCCACCACCCAGCCCAACATGGGGACGCTGCAAGGTAGAACAATTCAATACGTCAGCCATGCATCACTGCTATCGCCATATGTAACTATTCAAGTTTGAACAATTACACAAGGTTAAGCCTAGCCGCCAGGAAATTTGGAAGTAAATAGAAAAGATAAAATGACAGGATACATTTAAAGAGGAGAAAAGACGAACTTGTAGGGAGAGAGAGATAGGAAAAGACGACTGTCGATTTCCCCTGGCTAGGCCAGCCCAGGGGTGTCGTGTATACGTGAAGCCGGGGCCAAAGGGGTGTGTTGCCTCTGCCGGGGGGCCTTAAAGGTCCAATCATCCAGCATCGGCTCAACACGCAGGATTCCCTTTTCCCCGCACACGGCTAAGCCACACACGCCGAAGCGTGGAAGAAGGTCGAAACCCCCCCTTCCCCCTCGCCCTCCCCCCTAGTTGGCTCGGGTCCAGGGTGTTGCCACACACCAAACGCCTGCTTTAGCAGACGCCCCTGCGGGGCAGATGGCACTATGGGCACGCCGAACACGGGCAAACATTAGTACTGAGAATAATAAAAACGCGTGCATCCTTGTTTCCTGGAAGTTTACCTTTAACAATGTGCTAAATTTGAATCCGAGGTGAAAAACATGCGAAACATAAACCACGTGTGAGGAGAAAAGTAGACTATATAAAGAAGATAGCTATGAAAAAGAGAAAACGACCTGCAGAAGTGTGGCAGCTTGGGCTAGTTGGTATGACATGACGATAGTTATAGCGCGGGAAGAGAATGACGCAGAGACAAGAATCACACAAAGAACACGTGCACTTCGTTTCCTTCTTGTGTCTTTGTCGTCGTTTTGTTCCCGCGCTATAACTATCGTCAGGCCTGTAGAAACCTTGTCTCCAGTGGCGTTTCATGTTCAAGGATACTTAATCTATTCTCTGCCCTCGAGGCATTTTCGGTAAAGGAAACAATTAAAAAAAGTACATAGGAACGCAGCCCCGCGACATCTCTAAGGCAAAGTTTAACGCTCGTAAGACCAGTGAAACCCGTCATTTCCCATTTACCTGTAAGCTTGAACGGCGGGCACTTCCGTCGGTGCACGTGGTCCAGCAGGCTCGTTTAACCGAGCGCCGATATCGTCTAGGATTCGCTGCGCCGCTCGCCATCGAGAGCGCAAATGGCGAAGGCGCTCGTTCGGGCGGCTTTGTTCGCCAGAACTGCAAAACAGCAATGGTCGAGGGCCGTCATGTTACGGCGGAAACATTGAAGAAATACTGAAAAAAATGTAAAAGTTCTTACGAAAATCCTGAAAATGAATGCTCGATGTGCGATCACATCAAAAAGCGTATTATCGAACTTTTCAGCAGACAGTCTTCTTCGTGAGCGTGTGCCAAGCCACTCAGCCAACTGGAGTCCAAAGCAACGACGTCGTGACTCCTTCATTGAATAGCCGGACGGCGGTCGTTTATTTAGGCGCGCTCGCCGTCACATAGCTGCACAGTGTGCACTTATGTTGTGGTGCCTCTACCAGCAATGAATTCACCTCTCATGATGCAGACAATATAAATTTTCCAAAAAATTGAGGTTATGAGCTATACCGTGCCAAGCGACGAGGAGGAGTGGAAAGTGCCAGGCAGGCAGTCAGCCAACTACGTGATCTAACGTGCAGTGGTATATCAGCAGATAAATTATTGTTACGAACAGCCGCGTAGCCAGACGGTGGCACGTCAGGCCTGTTCCCTCTCTCCTCCCCTCCTGAAATTTTTTTTCGTCTTGGCATACAAGGCGAAAAAGGAAAAGTTGAAGGGGGTGCCAGTTCCCCCCATCCCTTCTCTGGAAAAGAAAGTCTGCTTACGCCCCTGGTTACGAAAGATATATAATGCATTGTTTCATAGGCTTTATCGAGGCATAATGGAAGGTATTGCAGCTGAAGTTGGTCACTTTGTGTTCCCCTATTGCGTCAGCATTCTACCGCTGCTCAGTTAATTTCTTTATTCACTCCGCGAGGCAGTGCGTGCATAGAGTTTCACAGCTGTTTCGTAGCTCAGTGCCCACAGCAGATGCTTTCACATACCCGCTACCACACGCCATATACAGGTTGAGTTAAACTAGATTGGCTGATTCCTCGACATTCGGTGTGTATACTATGGGAATTTAGGTAGAATGCGTTATTGTGTGTGAAACGTTGGGAGAAAACAGCTATAGATAACCTTTGTACGAAAAACAGTGAAACAGTATCGGTAGATAAATCTCTCTTTTAAGTAATAACCAGCCCTACCTAAGATGTGACCGCATCTCTTGTCATAGGTGCCCACAACGAACACTTGAGCAGATTGTTTTCATCTACTTTATTTAGTCTGTCACTGCAGCTGTGATGCTGAGTGTGAATGAATTCCTGGCCTGCACGTGTTCGAGAGTTCGTAAATGGGTGCGCATCGCTGTTTGCATACCTATAATTTTCTACACACCATTAATCTGATGCCTTGGTTCAAATTGATTAAAATGATTTAAGCACCTACGAAACAATATTATTAGAAAGTGTACGGCTTTCGGAGGGAATCGACTAACAAAACTAATCAAATTGACTGAGCTGACTAACCAAGAAATCAAAAAGAGGAAATTGACATGGGCCGGGCATGTGGCACGTAGGCAGGAGGACCCCTGGTCATTAAGGGTAACTGACTGGATTCCCAGAGAAGGCAAGGGGTTAGGGGCAGCCTGAAAGTTAGGTGGGCAAATGAGATTAGGAGGTCTGTGGGTATAAAGTGGCAGCAGCAAGCACATCACCGAGTTGACTGGCGGAACACGGGAGAGGCCTTTGTCCTTCAGTGGACGTAGTCAAGCTGATGATGATGTGGATGAATAACTTCGACTACGCAGGTTGTTGTAACGCTCACAGTACACAATGTGAAATGATTATCCCTTCCGGCTCAAAGCAATATGAATTGTTCTTCAAAAAGCTCCACCGAAAAGAGTTATGGTCTAATTATTTCTTGCGGAACATATCAGCGTTAACGCGAAAATATGATGGGCAGTCAAAGTGGGAAGCTAACACCAGCTACTACTCGCCACACATGTTTCTTAGCACAGCCTCAGATGACGCGTGCGCAAAGAAGCAGCAGCTGATAATTTGCGCCTATTGTTTCACGTGTCTTCTTGCCTTCAATTAGTTTTATGGGCCACCATGGCAGCACAAACATTTCCTACTTATAATAAATATATATAAATGCAAAGTTGAAGCCCCACCAACAAAGTAAACAGAACTATTCGCTGTTCAATAATCGTTTTAAAATTGCGTTCACTTGAATTACAATTATCGAAGACCGCTTCATTAAACCGAAATACCTTTCTCTTGAAGGGCCAACCTGTTCATCTGAACGGGGTCCTGTGCAATCTTCTTGCATAGTCATTAGCTCCTTCGTCGACGCCTTGTGCGAATGTGCCCCCGATGCGTTAACGTCACTTTTGCGGGCAGAATGTTTTTCCGAAACGTCGTGTTCGCTCTCTGTAAAAACGTGTCTCCGACTGTCGACAACGGGCTTCAACTCGGAGCTGGAGGCCACAGGAGAAGTCGACTCTTCTTGTATCACAGAAAGGGGGGCGAACGAATTTATTGTGTCTGTGAAAAAACAAAATTACCGTATTAGGAGTACTAGCCCACGTGCACAGCAGTCAGATGAACACCGCTGCATTGAAAGCAAAAAAAAGTGATGTAAAAATTATTCCATCCTCCATATTAAGGTAAGTTCATCTGATTGTAACATCTGAATCTTTTTTTTTCCTTGTACGATACTGCGTCACCTTACCGTGAAATAAGCTCGAAATAATACACTGGGTCAATATTTCCTATGCGGGTTGATGGAAATTATACGATCATATTGTTGACAACTTTCTAATGGTTGCATTCCGGTTCAAGCTTTGGAGCTCTTTCTTGTTGCATTTCTGAAAGCAGATGCCTCAGTTTACCACTCCACCAGAAATGATACTTAATGCAGTGCAAGAATACTGCCAAGCAAACCGCGGTTGTAGCACTGTGATTCATTACACGAAACTTACCCCGAGTACTTGATTTGTTACAATCCTGACCGGGACTGCTGCTAATTGTGCATGGCTTAGTGTTTCCACTCGATGGCCACAGGTTGCGAGGCTGTATTTCTCGGCTTGCAGACTGTGATACACCGGTAAACCATTCCAGAAGTTGATGTGCATACTCCCGTGGTTGTTCTTCCTGAAACAGAATTTTGTGTTTCGCTTAGACAGTTAATTTTGCTCGCTGTGAACATAGATGGCTAGCAATTTGGTACTTATGTTTAAGGAGCTTGTTGGGTATGCTTGTTATGCTCGCGCCTTGTCCGGTGGACGCTGGCGTGTACACCAGTGTTGCCAGTGTTTCCTTCTCTGGTCACCGCTCGAGTGTCCTCTCCGGTGATTCCAACAATGCTCATTAGATCGCGCGCTGCCAATCATGGCCTAAAATTACGGCTTGGTGGCGTTAGCCACCGTCCGATCTAAAGGGTACAGCCATATCAATCCATCCATCCATCCATGTTGGCATTCTAAAGCCTGCTTGCACACCTCCCCACGACTAAATACACTACGTTCTCCTCGCTTCCTAGGCACGGTAGGACGTCACAAGTTTCGACGATCAGTGTTATGCACGGGCACTGATATCCTTCCAAGCCGCCTCACCTGCCGACTCTCAACCCCATTGTAGAACGCCTCATAGCTGTACGTCTGCCATTTTCGAGGGTCAGACATTTGAACCAGAGCAGCGGCCAGTATGGCACAGAGTATGACACGCTGCCTTCAACGTCACATCGTGAGCCGTGTCATTAGGAAGCCTTCCAACAAAAATGGTCTTAACAAGAATCGTCCAGTGCACCTTTGAGCAGGCTTCATTAACATCATTCACTCTATGAATACAGCCTTTATTTTTTTGTTAGCCTATGATCAGTTATACTTCTCATGCTGAGTAGGAAAACAATGAACCGAAAAACAGTTGTCAACAGTTGAATGGAGGCTCCCAAATCAGCTGCACCAATTCGTACAGACGACACGCTTATTATGAGCATTGTCGCCCGAGTTGTAGTCCGTATATGCATATGCGTTCATCTATGGACCTTCACCCCTTCAGACGGGGTGAAGGTTCGTCGCACGCTTCTTACTATATATGTCAATGTATGGTCCTGACTTTGCACTCCCCACGCCACCCTAAAGGCAGCCTTCCTTCTTATATGTCAGTGTATGGGGCAAACTTCTAGCCCCCGCATCTTAGGTGACTAGAAGAGCAAGCCCCCCTCCCCCCCCCCCCCCCCTGCACACACTTAAGCATAGTTGGCTGATAAGCTTGTGCAGCTATGTGAACATTCGATTATGCATGTTTGGAAAATTTTCACTTTGACGCATTGGATCAAATCTCAACAGAGCCACTGAATCTAATAACAACAAATGATGGTGTTTTACGCCCAAAACTACGACAGTAATTACGGAAGACGCCATAGTGCAAGACTCCATAAACATCGACCATTTGGGGTTGCTTAACGTGCAGCTAAATATCTGCCGTTTGGACATCTGTAGCGGCTATCACTGTCTCTGGTTTAACTCGAACATGTATGCGCTGGAAATCAACGTAAAAAAAAAGACCGAGGATCACCTAGCAATGGCCTAGAAACAATCTACATCCCCAGGCTAAAGAATGTAAACAGCTTAGAAGCAACCACACTTCACAATAGTCCGTTTTCGCCGTTTCAAGCTTTGTGCCGCGTAGTGCGGAATTCGCCAGTGTTTTCAGTAGCCTCGAGTAGCTCAATAACAGAATAAGCCCATTAATATATCACGATGGTATTTATTTTGGGGCTTCCTAAACGTGCAGTTTTTTATCCACCTTATAGTGAGCTAAGGCTACTCTCTCTATATGCTGATAAATGTAAGATCGCACGGAGGAACAGAGAGTAAAAAATGGTAGAACTTTAACCGGAAGTTTATTATGTCACATCGTCATGTGCATTGCTTTCTCACTACTAGCGATGTTCAATGGACGTCATCAGTGATCACAGTACAGGAAGCCTCATATTAACTGCACATGACGTCACGGCGCACAACATGGCTCCAACCTGGCAGTTTGGATGACGTCAAAGCAGTGTATTCACGCCTCGATCAACCTGTCTCAGTGTGATAGCGACGTCACTGAAACGGCGCTCGGCCTCTGTGCATGAATAGCGAGAGAACCAGCGTGCGATGTACTGATGGCACTAAGGGTAGTTGCCAAAGTGTGAGTCACACCACGGTGCACCAATGTGGGCATCTGAGTGACGTTCCTGCAAGCCATATATGTATCAAATGCACCTGCTAAGGCTTACATCTGTCCAAACCGATAGTTAGATGGAATATGATTAAGAAAGTAACAGCGTAAAGGGAGTTCATGGCGTCAGGATATTGGTTGAAACTCAGTGACAAAGTTGGGTAAGCTGCACTTGTTATTCTCAATTTGGTCGGCGATGCTCGATATCGTCACGTGGCTCGTGATGCTAACGAAGGCAGCAGCCAGTATGTCCAAGATCAAACTTGTGACCAGTAAACAGAAAGTCCGATTACAGCAGTGCACTAAATGACACTGATAGTGGTGAACAGAGCTTCGGCCCTCGGTTAACTGACAAGCGGTGAAGCACGCCGGCATTTATACATGTGCAGTCGAATATTCCTGTAGCATTATTGCTAGCGACCACGTAAGTTCGAGAATAATTTGTAATGTTCGCGTCACGCGCATTCTGAACAAAAAGATCTACCACAGTCCAAAAGCTTCTCGAACACTGTAGGCACAGTTAACGCTGAATAATATTCAGAGTGTAACGAGGCGACAACAAAACCTAATGAAAGAGTATGGAAAAATGAATACAATTTCTCCAGTAACGACATTAAACGTTATCGCGAAGCTACCAGGCATGCGCATCAACTTGAACTCATTAATGAGGTAAAAGTGCCTCTATGGGAACGGCAGCAACTAAAAGGCCGCCATGTACGTGCTTTGTGTAGTGACCTCAAAGAAACTGTTATTCCAATAAAGTGGCAACGCACTTGTCTCAGCAGGTTGATTGATTGATATGTGGGCTTTAACGTCCTAAAACAACCATATGACTATGAAAGACGCTGTAGCGGACGGCCCCGGAAATTTCGACCACCTGGAGTTCTTTAACGCGCCTTCAAATCTGAACACACGGGCCTACAACATTTTCGCCTTGTCACAGCTGGTTAAAACGAGGCAGGGCCACAATGCATGCTGCGCCAGGAAGCCTTAGAATTGCGTTCACTAAATTAGCCCTCGCTTCACTCGTCCGTTATTTCCTTCAGCAGCTCGGAAGAGTTCAGCGTATGACGCATGCACCGTAGCGCGATACACTAACCCAAAGCTTTGCGTACGCTTTCCCAAAGCTACTATAAAAGCAGCGAGTGTCTGAGCCCTAGCGTGACGTCCTGCTACCATGTGTATTCTGGTATTGTCTGAACGTAACTAGCGTTGAATATTGGTAAGGGATCATATTAAAAAATATTGGAAACGTATCGGCATGCTCCATAGCAAATGTCGTCGAAAGATGATAATCGTATGCCGGCATTCTTTCCTGCATAGCGTCGCCTTTTCTGCTCAGCCTAAGAAACACTAGAATCTTCAAATTACGTATCTGTTTTTTCTAGTAAAGGCACACACTACCTAATGCCTACAGCATGCTGCCCCTCAGATATTCGTAATATTTGGTTTTTGATCTAAAATGTTGAAAAATATGAACACAAACACTGCTTGAAGACGTCTGGACGTTCAGGAAGTGCTTAAACATAGGCCGGGTGGCTGAATAATGTGACTGACAGAAAGACAGACTAAAAATTTCTGTGTTGAAGTATGGCAAGAAAGACTATGATCTTTGGAAATACCGAAAGCAAAATAGACTTCAGTTACCTTGCTTCCGAGGGATCGCTTTTTAACAACATATTTTTCCACGCACTGCTGAACCTGTGGTTGAAAATCCGCGTTAAGTGATGAGACTAATTATCGAGGGATATTCGATACATAGGCCGCAAGATAGAAGTCTTCCATATCGAAAGCGAGGGAGTTCAGTGTACTGTTTAAAAATCTATTTAAAAAATTAGCGTATCTGTTTTTCCCGTGCTACATGCAATGATAGCACTGTATTGATTGCAATCCTTGACTGATGTTTTGGTTATGCTGTTAATCACTGACAGTAACTTGAACTCCTTGATGCGGCTATACGAGGTTAGCTTGTTCTTGATGCAACAGCGTTAAAGGGCCCTGCAACCCTTCATGAGCATGGACAAAAGAAAAAAAAACGTTGCCAGTGTTTATTAGAGGTTCCACAGAACATGCGAGCCAAATACTATAGCGCTTCACCGTGGCCTGGAATTCACAATAAATTTTCGAAATAAGCTAAAAATTACTTTTCTTCTCCAGACAAATGACGGAACAAGATAAAAAATCACCCATCTCAGCCTTTGTATGGGCCATTTTCTTATGTGAGCATGGCCGTTACAGAAACCTGCGGTAAAGGCTGCGGTTGAAGAAAGCAAACAAAGAAAACGTGGCAAGGGCCAGGAGGCACACGTGGCATATTTTCTCCCCACGTGCATAGAGTTTCCTAATATACACTAGAGGGAACACTGGCGTTAGTGTTTTTGGGAGCTGCAACGCACGGTGCTTCAGCGAGCATAGAAATGATAGGTTGGACACACATTTGTTTATTATTCGTACTTCTGGCATGCGCCTGGCTCCGTGTGTGTTCGTGTGGCAGCAGTTTTTTTTTACGAAAAATAAATTAGCAAATGTTCAGTGTTCGCGCTTCTCAAGCCTATTCTTTTAGGCTTACCATTTTGAATTGGGTCACGAATTTCAAAAGGGTTCATTCTTTCCTTCAAAACAAAACTATAACCAGCAATAAAGGAAGCCGCAAGTACGATTCGCCGTCTGCAAGTACGAAGAAAAGGCGAATGTGTGTACTACCCATCATTCCCATGGTCGCTGAACGATCGCAGTGCCAGAGTCCCCGCTAGTTAATTTTAAGAAACTATGTCCGTGCCGTCCT